GAATGAGGGTTTCCAGATTTTTTTTTTCTCATGCAGCCAAAGTCTCCCATTCAACCGTGGGGATGTGCACCTATTTTCAAGGTTTTCAAGGTTTTTTTTTGGTGGTGGTGGTGGTGTTTTTTTTTTTTCTGTTTTCTCCTGTTCCTGGCCGCTCCCAGTTTTCTACTGTCTTAAAAAGAGTTTTCAAGTAAGTGAATAGCAAGGATCTGCAGAAATACCAACATTCACCTAGATATGAGGAAGAATAAGACTGAAAACTGCTGTTGCCAATGGGAGTGTCAATCGTGGTGGGAAGCAGCAGAGGTGCTGTCTGTCTCCAGCACTGCCTCCAGCATGACTGAACATTCGGAATTGTCTGCTCAGCTTGGGGGAGATATTTGATCATGATAAATATCTTAATTAGCCTTTCTCTTCCCATCCCAGCCCAGTGAGTCCACTATATACCTAACTGTACCCCTTATGTCAAAGTTTAATTCAATTACTCCCTCTCGTCTTATGTATTAGGTACTAACAGTATTTAGCAGGTGGCTCTGAGCAGTGAGCAAATGTCCACGTTTTTATCTGTTTTGAATTGCTCTTGTGAGTCTTCTCTTCAGCGTGTCCCTGTTCTTGTTTTTAAATAATTTATCCACTTATCAAAGCGCCACTCTCGTGTTTGAGCTCAGTCAGGAATTTCTTGCTCATCCATGCTGGGCTTCTACTACACTTGGGTGCTTTCCTGCATGCTGGGCTTGACTGTCCTTGTGCCCGATACTGAGTCCTCATATTTCTCCTGGGTTTCTAACACCAGCAATAAGCTTGTGGAAGCTCTCATCTCTGGTCTTGTCCCTGTACTTTTCACTTCTTTTCAAAGTTTAAATGTTATTGCTACTGCCCAAATTTCAAGCTGTGCTTGTATTGAGTAAGAGATCTCCGTAATACTCAGCAGGGCTATGAGGGAGACACAGGAAACGCTACAGGTGGACCTCGTTCCAGTGAGGAAGCTGAAGGATGTCTTTTAAGGATGAAATATGTCTGGAGCTGACAGTAGCACAGAGATGAATGAGCACGGATCATGCAAATCCTGCAACAAATGTCCTCATTTGTTCAAAAATACCTCATTTTGTAGCAGACTACACTGGCTTCCCTTCTGTCTCAGAAGCAGCTGGAGAAACTGCCTTTCTAGGCTCTTTCTTTGCACCTCATTCTTTGAATAGGTGCTTGTTGGTGCAGTGACTACTGAAACCTGAAGCCGTAGTGACATAAAAAGAGCCCTCTCTTTATTCCCATAAAAATATTTATAAACACTGTTACTCTTCTCCCCTTAAAAAATTAAATTTGTAAAGCCAGGCACTCAAAAGTTATGAAACACCAGAAGTGAAGCAAGGTTATTTCAGCCCCAGGCATCTAGACATTATGATCCAGTCCCTAATTATGACCACAAACTATTTTTCCACAGACTTTCTGCTTCATTCAGTGCACCATATGGATGGTGTTCACTCAGAGGGTAGTTATTCATCCTTTTTTTTTTTTTTTTGCTGTTCACTACATGGCCCTATGCTGAGTTTCTCCACGGCAAACCCTTCTCTGAGGAGAGAACTATTAATCTTTCTATGGGTGTTTCTGTACGGGTGATTGCTGAGGCCCTCACCTGCACAAACACGGAGAAGCAGCGCGTCGGGACGCCCTGGGGAAGGAGAAGTCGCGGAAGCAGCTGCGCCTCCTCCTCCCTGTGTGGGTCTGCTGCCCCCAGCCCACGCCAGGCCCGGCCTCCCCGTCTCGGTTCCCCGCTCCAGCCCCTCGGACGTTTGGCTCTTTGTTCAGCTGCATCTTGGCTCCCGGCCCAGTTTTAGCTCTCTCCTTATGGTCCCCAGCTCGGTGTTCCCCTCCCTCGCTTCCTGGGCTCTGCTCCTGCCCGCTGCATGTTCAGATCAGAGGGCCTGTGCGCGGTGCCACTGCGGCCTGGCAGCGTGAAGAACACGCTCATTCACCAGCACAAGCTGTTCGACACATTTCACAGCTCCTAAAGAGAGAAACTTGCCACATCTCTGCCAAGCGTGGGCCAAATGGAGGGCTTTTTTTCTTTTTTTTTCCCAATGGCTTCAAACTTGGTTGTATCTGGGTGGTTTTTCACAGGCCTAGCAAAAAAGAGGTATTTTTGATAAAAAGAAAATCCATGCCTTGCCAGATTTCATGGCCCTGCTCCAGCTTCTTCCCTTCAAATATGAGGCATCAGATCTGAAGGAACTATGTGACCAGCTCAGTTATGTTTATTAATTTGCTTGTTCATGCATTAGCAAGTTCTATTTATCCTTGATGCATTCTCAACAATATGATGATCTAGTTTTGCTTAAAAAACGCAATCAGATCCAAGGCTAACACCCAGTATCTAAAAAGTTCATCCCAAATAGTTATGTTCTGGCAAAATCCGATTGAACAGAGACCTTATGTAACGACATGAGTCAGGCAAACTCAGTCACAAGCAACCTCGCATCTCCATCTGTACAATATTCCCAACTTTGGGGAAGGGAAAGTGTGTGACAGATAAACGAAGTGCTGCGTTATTGGCTCCCTCTTGAGCAGAGCTGTGTGATGCCACAACCGTTATCTCCTGATAATCACCGGCCATTTTAAGCAAGGATGGATCCTTTGGATATATAACCCAATGCCCGCTTCCATGCAAACCGAGGGAGCCAGTGCCTAAAAGAAAGGACTCGGAACAAGTGAGAAAGAAAGCTAATAAATGAAGGTGCTCGTAAAAGACTTACTGCGCTTGGCGGTGCCCTTGGGCGGGCAGGGGGCCTGCTGCAGGTGGCCCAGGCCCCGCGCCTCGTCCTCTCCGTAGAGCACATGGAGGAGGTCACCATGGTGTGGATGTGACTGGTCTGTCCGGTGGGGCCGGCAGTCAGCTACTGCGATCACCTACGGAAAGAGGCGAAACCGTTCCATGGCGCTAGGGCTTGGAGGGTCTGCGTCGGCACGATGCCGTGCGGCGAGTCACCCTGGAGCCGCCTCTGCGGGGGTTGGCACTTCGTCATGGTGTCATGGGCATTGCCAGGATCCGTGACTCCTGTTGGTTTTGTTTTGCTCCTGACTCCATGCATGAGGAGTATAAAAATACTGGGAAAAATCAAACATAATTTCTCTGGGACCCAACTGCTTTAGTTGCACCTTTCTGTGTTTTCTTCAAGAAGCTGAAATGTGACCCTTTATAAATCTACAGATTTTAGATGCCCACTCTGGTATAGCTTAAATTTAATTTCTTGTTGCATTGTGTCAGGGGCAGTCAGTTGCACTAGAGCAATGTGAATGAAAAGTGCATTTTCTTCATGACTCTCCTGACTTTGGGACTCATTTGCATTTTATACCTGGCAAATGATTTCACAGAACACATGATGGTGCAGAATTCTGCTCCTAGATTTCAATTTTTCATAAAAATTAGCCCACAGAGACTAATTTGGGGGGAATGTAAGTTAAAAAAAAAAAAAAAAAGTTGGCTAGGTTCGAAGCAGATGGGTCTCTTGGTGACTGTAATCTAGGGTGATCTAGGAGCAGTTGGATCAGGAAGATTAAAGTCCTGACAGCAGGGAAGCCCGTTTCATACTTTGTTTCTTAAATTCTTCCCTGCTGTCATACTAAGAAACAGAATACAAGTTAAAGAGGCCAAAGATCCAAAGCAGTAAGGAACTCAAGACGTAGGGCAACTTTTGAAACTGCTTCAGTTGGTTTTGTACTGGCATTTATTCTCTGCAATACTCTGTCAAGAAATGTTCTGTAGGCATCTAGTGTAATGTGTGTATTTCAGGATGCCTAAAACCTAGAAGACTTTATTAAATGTGGCCTTTTGCCAGCAAAAATCATTTTGAGAAACATAAAGAGGAGCATTATAAAGACAGAAGCATGCACTGGAAGGGCAAACTCAGCTGGCAGTTCCTTGCCTAGAAACTCCATGCGCATTTTCCAGTCGTGAGGAAGTTACAACACAGGGATGATGAGCGAGATGGATTCCTGCCATAAACTGTATCTTAGCTAAGCAAGGTCAAGACCCGTGGGCTCAAAACATCCATCAGCATTGATGGATCAGCATCCATCCATGGCCATCAGCATCCTCTCAGTTAGACTCGATGCTGGACAGCAACTAATAAGATGCCCCAAATAAAGCAATTTCTCCCCTCTTCCCCCCAGCAACTTTTCAGCGGTATGAGACAGTGACTGCAAGCAAGAAGAAATTTAATGTTAAAAAAGCTTTGCTAGGAATAGCTTTCTTGGTCTATACCTGTTGTTAATACAAGACCTAACCTGTAAAATAAATATTTGTCAAATGATGTAGTTAAGCTGAGCAGTAGATAGGCTGGTTATTGCAGTATGTAAACTCAAAATAGTGCTTAATAGTAAAAATGAATGTTGCCTGCACCATATATTTTGTGTCATTCTATGTTGGAAGAACAAGTGAAAACCTTGCATTTTACTGATGACTAATAGTTGCCATGTACCTGTCTATATGTAAATGCAGATATTTTATCTCATGGCTGAGATGAAAACTCAGCAATCAACTGGCGTGTTACTGGTGTAGTAAAAGCCTTACTTTATCTACTGATAACACCTTCTGCTTCGAAGCTGAATTCAACGTAAAAACAAGACAGCATTCAAGCATGTGCCTTCACAAAGTTATTCATTTTCTTTAAAGACATTTGAATTTAGTTTGCCATTAATCTGCAATTTTCTGTGTGCATAGAATTTTACACAGATTTATAAACACATGCAAATGGGTAGTTCCCAAAACAAGAAAAAAGAAAAAAAAAGAGCAGGAACTGCCTTCTGAGGCCCAACAGCAGGAGGCAAAACCACCAGGGTGAGGGCTGGTGAGGCAACCACAGTCTAACTCAAGAGGCAGAGGGGCTTTCTCCGCCCTTGGTGGATCTGGGCACACAGCCTAACCCCATCCTTGTTCCACAAGCTACTTGAGAACATGCCTAGTGCTAAAGTCCACGGGGTCCTGAAGATACACACGGGCTCAGGAGCGCACATGAGCGGGGCCCAGCGCTGCTGCGCAGGCGCCTGGCGCTGCAGCAAGGCAGCGGCGCCTCAGCACTGCGCGGGCAGCTCGGCGAGGAGCGCCATGCCAGGGCAGGCTGGCGGCCTCCCGGTGCTGCCAGCCTCCCAGCTGCTGGGCTGGCTCCAGGGCTGGCTCCTGGCCCTGCCCACAGCTCCTCGCGTGCCGCAGCCTCCCGTGCCCTGGCACGGGCTGAGCCCGGCACCGTGCTCTGACCACCCAAGCGGCTTGCCGGAGCAACCAGCCCATGCCACCACAGGGACCAGCCCACGCCACCGCAGGGACCAGCCCATGCCACCCAGGGACGCCAGCAGAGAGCCCTCCGTCCCTGCGGGCGAGGTGAAGTTGTGCCTGGCAGGGTCTTTCGTGGCAGCCGCTCTGCCTCGGAGGTTGCCCTGATCGCGCGGGGCTTTTGCGGCTCTCAAGGCGTGTGACAAGGCCAGCTTTTCTCTCGGGCTTTGGAGACGTGCCTGGGGCTCTTGTTCACACTCAGCCCTCTCAGCCCTCTTTGGTGTGACAGAAGATGTCTGCAGCTCTCTCCTGTTCACATGCAAGGAACCTGAGTTCCCTTCTTTTACCTCATCTTGGATAGGACAGTTTAGGTAAGTATGATGCTGGCTGTCATCTTGAAAGTGGCTTGTTTTATCAGTGTAAACCACTATTGACTTGAAACTTAGCAATCTGCCTGCACATTGCCAAGCATAAATTTCATGTAAATAAAAATAAAAATAGAAGTGTGTGTGTGGGATGGGCATGTGGAGGAAGCAGTATTTTAACTCCATTAATAGCAGGAATCTATGTTTTTAAGTTTTCTTGTTTACATTCGTTATCAGGCATGTCAGAAGGCCTTCAAAGGCATCTATATAAATAGGCTACGTTGCCATTTTCCATTACAGTGAGACACAACAACACAGCCACTACAGCACATTCTCAGCTAACATGTTTGCTGCATTTAGCAGTAGTTTTCTGAGTCTCTCTTCTCCCAGTGAAAGATTTCACTGCGACTCTGGCTGCCTCACCCATTACTGTAATACACAAAGACTTTTCTAGGTCAGGGAACTAAACCTGGTGTAGCACAGTGTTGATCTAAACCTGAGCTGACGTTTCTCTCGGGCACCTAAGGTAAGGCACAAGGATCAGCTTGAAGTCACTTTTCTTTTCTAAATGTAACAGAAATTTTAAATCTGTGTGAGAGGCAGAGTCATCCAAACTAAGCGGAATTACCAAGCTGCTCTCTAGATAATTGCTGCTTCTAAAACCTGCTAAGTCCCTCGGCTGCCTCATTCTGCTTGCAGGGCCCGTCCCTAACGCAGAGCTCGTTGGAGCAGCTCTCACGGGCGCTTCTGTGCTCAGGTGAGAGCACCCCGCGAACTCAGCCGAGGCAAACGGGGACACGCGGAGGGCGCGTGAAGGCTGTAGAGCTCCGCAGCCTAGAGGCCCCTGCAGCAGCTCACTCGGTGGTCTTGCAACCAAAACCTCACTATCAGACCAACAATCAAAAAGTTGCAGTTAAATATCTGGCTTTAGGTAAAACTCGGAAGCTTAGTGGCTTAACAAAGTGTTGCTAGCGGAGGAAATGACATTTTTAGAGCTAAGCTCTTCTTGATGATCTCATGTTTATCTGACTGTTAACGTGGCAGCACTAACAAACGCACAGTTTGCCATTTTTGCGCGAGGCAGTTGGGTCCTGGTGTCCACACTCTTTAGAGTCAAACAAAGGATTTGGGGATGGGAGAACATGGGGAGAGAAGCAAAGGAAGCAAAGGATGTGTTGTAACTAGAAATAACTCTTAATAGGGCAATAGGAACTGCAAATAAGCATATTCAGCAAATAGTTACTTTAAAAAAGAAAGGCTTTCCTCCTTTCTTTCACCCTCCCACTGTCATCATTGTGCTTCTGGGGTGGATTCTTGGATGTGATGGAAGTTACCTTGCACAGTTAGTCATTTCACTGTTAAATCAGTTAATGCTACATGGCTTGAGAGTTTCTGCTACGAAAAAAAACCCTGGCAGCTGTCCATGTTGCTTGCTATTTTTGCCCTAGTCTTGGATTAAACTTGTGCATCCACTGCAATTACCAGAGCAGAAGATCTCAGGTTAGCTGAGGCATTTCTACAGCACCAACAGCAGGTGCAGAAATAAAAGTGAAAAATAAATAATCATTCTGCTACTTCTGTGTGGGTCTAGAAACTGGTGATTGCAGCTTCCTCAGAGGTATGTGTGTTCCAGCCCATGCAACTTATTTGAATAATTTCACACAAGCGATAAGCTATAAGCAGATGCATCGCCCCGAAAGAGGGAAATGCACAGTGCTGCTAAGAGCTGTCTGTGCAGATTGCTTTGATTTGAAAGCCTGCCTTATTTTCCTAGCTGGATCTGCAGGCTATTCCTTATGCCTGGTACTCCCACGCTAACATGATGCTGTCCGCAGGGCTTTCTTGTTTTTCTTCAGCCTACCTAAGTATAGTGCTGCTACAAACTTCCCTTAGGAAGGGAAAAAGGGAAAACCATGGAGAGAGAACTTTCCCCAGAAAACATGATTGTTCCCACCTTGATTAACACAGTACTGCACATATGGACGTCTGTTTCACTTGCTTTTCCGTCCCACCAGCCCCTCTGTCTCTGTTATTCCTGCTTTAAGAATATGAATTATGTCTGTGGATCCCTCAGATGACCTGCAATGAGCAGCTGTTTATTTGACCAGCTCTGCATGGAAAAACAGCATTCTTTGGGGAATAATTTGAAAGCTAATTTTTCTGCTAAATATCCATAACTTTCTGGAAACTCCCCTTTTTGTTCGCTGCCACACTCCCTGCATCGGACCAATTCCATTTTGTTGCCCCAGTCCCAAAATATCTGCTTCCTATTAAACCATGGCATCTTTAACAATAAATTTAGCCAAGTAGAATTAAAAGAAAAATGAAGAAAAAAAGAAAGAGAGCAGGAGAGAAAGGGAGGAGAAAGAGGGTTTCTTACACTCTTCGTTAGGATGTGCTGTGGAGTTTTGGCTCGTCTTCGGGCAGGACTACACGCTGCGGAGAGAAAGCAGAAACACAGTCAGGGGCCGCTTGAGACAGACGGGTCCGAACGGCGGTTTCCGAAGTGGTGCCCGCTGAAATGCGGATCAGGTTTTGCCCATTTGGAGTGGGAGGTAGGAGACCAAGGCCGACACGCATCCGGCGCCGCGCCCGCAGGAGAGCTTATTTCGGGAGAGGGCCTGGCTATGCACATGAGGCAAACACAGCAGGCTGGTGTCCCGTGTCCTGGAGAGGGAGCCGGGCCGGCTGCGTTTCCCCACGGAGGAGCTGGCACCACTGGCAGCTCGGGCAGGCCAGGAAGTGCCAACGCTCGTAATTCTGTCAGGCTGTCCCTGAGACTCAACACTTGTCTCTCCTGCTGACCCCGCGGTGCAGCCTCACGTCAGTGTTTTAAGTGACTTTGCATCACTTCGAGATGCTGAGGCTATGCTGCAGCAATGGCATGGGGTTAGATATGTCTCTAAAAGACATATTCTGCATGCGAATGCTCTGGGGCTAGGAAGGAGAGGGGTGGGAAGGAAAGGTCTGAGGAAGATTTGAGGTGAAGTGCTTGCCCCAGAAGGAAGTCCTCACTCTTCATGTCATCTCAGAGACCATTTTTTAGCTACGCAATGCAGACGTCTATAGGTACAGGGCAACAGCCATCCCAAAGTATCCACACTTCTGCCATAGGCTTCCAGGAGGAATCTTTTCTGTTCATGAGTTTTTGATCAGGCCTCTTACCTGCCAAGGCTTAGGACAGCAGCACTTGTTTCAGAGAGAAATTAACTTTTCTCTCCATGCAGCTTCAAACATGACTAGCGTCCGCGTTAACTTTAAAGAGGCCTAACCTTCCATCTGGATATACAGACCTTCTCAGTAAGCTCAAACTGCTCTGTAAAGGCATTTCAGGGTTACTGCATTCGGTCCAAAGCAAAACTTTTGCAATAAGTCTAGTTTTTTTTTTTTTAACTCCTCAAAATGACTCATTCAGCGCTTTAACTTGATGAGCTGTTTTGCATGGAGTTTGCTTTCACTTTTATTTTTAAACACTTAAGACACCACAATCATAAGCAAAACAGAATCACCAGCCACTGGGTGCACAAGATACTGGAACCATAAGCAAAGTTTGTGATCAGACCGAACCTCCATTCACATGGAGGGGAGTGGGCATTTTCAGACAAAGTGAAGGTGGTTTAAATAATTTTTGTTTCAGTTTGACTTGAAACTGGACTGAAAAACTCTGTCTCACCCCTTGTACTTCTTTAAAATCAGCCCCTCTCCTGTATCCCAGTTCCTCCTTGGCTGCCAGCAGTAACAGCACAGTGTGATGGCAGCAGTGCCTTGTAGCTGTGACATCTCCCTTGTACTAGTACGGAAGTTGCCTGGTTATCTAGTATTAATATCCCTGTTATGGCATATTAATGTCCCGGAGCTTTCCTTCCAGGACGGGAGAAGAGAACATTTATGACTAAGCCTAGTGTGTAAATGGGAACCCCAGGGCAGGGTGAAGTTTAACACTTTGTGTGCCTGGCAGTACTGTGGCCTTGGTGCTGGCGCCGCCGGCGCAGCGGCCGGGGCGCACGGGCACAGAGAGGCTGGTGGGAAGCGTCGCGATGCGATGGGGCTGAGCAAGTTCAATAGCCCGAGTTCAGGCATTTTGGTAATTTTAGTGGGGGACATGCAGGCAAAGTGGGAATTGTGGCTTGGTGTTTCAAAGCTCTCAGCTTTGGACTAGAGTAACTCACCATCTAAACCCTTTTGGGGATCCAGACCTTAGGCTCCAAATTTAGGATCCTTAAAGAAGTGGCCTGATTTTCAGAGATGTTCAATACCTGGAACTGTCACTGAAAATCAGGGCATCATTTCAGATAAAAAAAATTACGTACTGAGCATTTGGACCCCAAAAGATGGGGGGAAAAAATGTGTTGCCCTATGCTTTGCCTCTGTTAAGCAGGAGGGGAGCGCAGGAGGTGCTATCTTGCCCAAATTCCCTGCTAAGGGCCCGCTGAAGCACTGGGTGCTGCACACTTAACTCTTCCCGAACAAGTTATCTGTGCACGTGCAGCCTCCTAGTGTGCTGAGCTGTCAGCTTGATTTCACTCTGTTTTGAACGGGATGATATCCTCAAGGAGCCTACAGCCTTCTCCTGCATGGGAAGCTTTAGATTTTAAATCAGGGTGAGTGCAGGATGAGAACCAGACAGACATCAAAAAGGTGTTTTCTTTTTTCCTATGAATATGTGGTAACTTGCTTTGGAAGCCCTCGCAACCACTATTCCTTCTGGAATTTCATTGTATGAGGAGTAATTTAATTGTTCACAAGCAAAACGCCAATTAAGCCCAAGTGCAGAAAAGTTTTATGATACAAGGGATCACCTTGATATCTCTCTGGCATTTCCTGCATTTATCCTGTATGCTCACAGCGTGAGGAGCATAGTTGTTATATTTTTCTCATAGTTGGGAATACTGCTATGCTAGTGCCACAAGAAACAACATGTACGTACCCAGCAGTAGTTAGTGTGTGTACTTTCAGGGTATGTATGATCCACAGGCCAAAGCACTGCCTGTCATCTGCCAGTTTAAGTGGCGAGTGGCTTACATGGGCTGAAGAAAGGAATGGCATGAAAGGGAAGTCACAGCACCAGCAAACACGCAGTTACTTGAATAGCCATTGAAAGAGGAGTGAATCATGGAGCTAGACGTAAGTGACCTGCTCGCACAGGAATACAAAGGCAGCAGTGCAAACAGCGGAGCTGCGGGGAAGCCCCAGCAAACATCGTTTTCGGCAGGGGGTGGGAGCAGGAAGGGAAGAACGAGCCCTTGCCCATGATGTCCCTGGATTTGCCGGCGAAAGGATCTCAGGCAACAAAACAATTACAGCGGAGGTCCGTGCTGCCATTTCCACTTATATTCTGAAATAAAGCAGCTGAGTGCTCACAGCTTCCAAGTAAAGATCTGATCTAAGCCCACAATTTGTTTTCCATGATTTTACCTGCTTTTTCCTCGTTGCTGCTGAAATATGCAGCAATTGAGTTTAAACTAATCTGTTCAATCCAATGCGTGCAGACTGGGCTTTGTCCGGTTCTTACTCTTCATTACAAGCAATTAATGTTAATCATGCATTCATTGCCAGGGCATGGCTTTGGAAATGTTCCATTTATTGAGCCAGCATGCTTAAATTCAACATTCAGGCAGCTCACCCAGTTCATCTGAGCTGCTGACTGCTTGCAGAACTTCATTTTCTTTTCTTTTCTTTTACATAGAATAGCCATGCAGTTGCAAGCTGTCACTTTTAGCAGTTACCTCATAGGTACGTGAACGTGAATTCCAGATCTCCCAATTTTGCCTGTGCAGCAATTTTACAGAGCCCCAGTGCCTAAGCACCTGCACGGATTAGCCGCAGAAACGAGCAGGGAGCCCCGAGCTGCCAGCACGGCACGGCACAGCCGAGCACAGAGAGCAGCAGATCCCTTCAGACATCTCTCTAACGATAAAATATTCCGTCCACCTAAGAGGCAACACTGTATCTGTTATTCTAGTTTGCATGTACTTACATTTGGATGAAATCACGGTGGTGAAAACTTCTAAATTTTCATCGCTGCAGCTGTAAATCTGATGCATTTTCCACCTCTCTCCACTGCCTGCCTTCCAGCTTCATGCAAGTGCTCTGAACTTCTGGTAAATAGGTTTCACTAATCCAATCTGGCTCTGTGATCATTGTCCAGATCTACAAAGGACAGACCGATGCTGTGATCTCATCTCATTCCATATTCTTCATTGCAACATTTTCTGCTCCCATCTGCCTTTGTATGAATACTATTATTGCAAAGATTTAATTTAGCTGTTACTTAAACCTCTACTCAGCAGCATTTTATTTTACTTCTCTTTTTTTTTCACCAATTTGGAGAATCTTCTACAATACATGACTAACAATTAAAGTCTGTTCTGTGCAGCTGATGTGTGGGCATATACAAGCTCACAGAAGTACTGCAAAGATTTTTAATATGAGTTGCTTTGCTGCCTTTCTGTACTTCAGCACATTTATAATGAAAAGCTGCTCCTCCCATATAATGAAGAGCTGATCACAGGTGCATTAAGGAAAGTATTTGGTTCTTCACCTTTTAAGTTCATAAATCAGCACCTAAATTCTGGACATTTTGATGTACAATTTCAGTGCAGATGTCTAAGGAATAGTATGTCAGCCAGAGATTCCCCCGACACTTTAATGGTTCCAAGGAGACAGTAGGTGTCTCATTCGTACATGGATTCCTACATAATTGGGTGGATCTTTGGCCCAATTCCATATTTATGAATTTCAAATTCATCATAATCAAATTGCCATAGGCAGCAGCCCAACTCAGAGATTTTGGCTTGCACACTCCAGGACCTGATGCAACATAAATACTTCCAAGTTATTCAAGATATTAAATTATATCAGTCCATTGAATAGACTTCCTTACTAGTGTACATGTGTAATTAACACAAAGATTAGCTCTGTCTTCTCCTATAGAAGACTCTGACAGTCCCTGATGCAAAGTGCTGGGAAACAAGGGCTGCTTCTGTCATATTAATAGAAGGATTTTCTTTGAGAAGATAAATATTGATGAAATACACATCCTGAGCCCGGAAGCATTTTGGTTCTTCGGATGGTGTCACTGTGCCAGAAGAAAATGAATGAAGAGAACCTGGTATCATTTGTTACCTCCCAGGGCAGCCTCCTGCTGCGCAAGGGCAGCAAATCTATAGGGGGGACATTGTTCCAGGAAAGAGGGCAGGGCTTAAAACGGGCAGTGGGACGGCAATATAATCAAGCAAAAGTTCAATTAGTTTTTGATTTATTGTGCCACATGTTGTGCCTGTATGACTGGTGTCATTAACATCAGGCCTGGCCGCCTCCTTCATCTGTCTGTGCCCGGCTCCCTCCGAACGCGCCCGGACTCAACAGATGGGGAGTTTCGCCTGGAATTGTTTATCCCTCCATTGTTCTTTTGTCAAGCGCTCAGCCCAAATCCATTACCCGCCAAGAAAAAGATCAGCGCGGCACCGTCCACTCCGCAGCGAACGGGCGGCTACGCAGGGAGAATTTAAAGCTTTCAAAAGGGGTAATGAGGAGCAACACCGAATGGTGCTCCGAGGAAAAGAAAAGCTGCAACAAATCTAACGCACCCTTTATCTCAGATTTGGATAGTCAGAGCCCTGTGAGAAGATGTATTTTGGGGTCTGAGTAATTGGTTTCCTAGTTAGAACTGTGACCTTGAGATGTTTTAAAATCGTAGCTGTGGCTTAACATTAAAAAAATATATATTTGTTGTTTCATCATATTGAGGGGAGGAATGGAAGGGCGGAAATAAAAGTAAGATTTGAGAGCAAAAATATGGTTACTAGCAGACATTCACTGCTTTGTAAGTTAAGTTTTGGGCAGGTAAATGAGCTTTCAACAAGTATCTCTACAAGAGACACTGTCTGGGGATAACAGTCACTTCCAAACAGAGCCCTTGGGAGGGCTCATATGCTGCATGTGCGCCATACGGGATCTTCATCTGGGAATGAGTTCCTCCCTGTTTGTGAGGGGGAACCTGCTGCTTCAATCTGTCCAGCTCTGACAGGGTAATGAAGCTCTGTGAATTCCTAGGGTTTTGCAGGAAATCTTAATGAGCCTTAAGAGAAGGAACACATGCACTGGGCTACTCTTTTCAGCTTTCCCTAAGTTATTTTAAACTAGTCATCCTGGACTGTTTAGCTACAAAATAAGTGTGATAATACCTGCCAGCAAAGTGTACCGTGGAGCACAACTGCGTGCAAGCTGTTGATGATTGATGACCATCAATCCAGACAGGAAGAAGACACTGACTATGGTGTGCCATCCAGGAGCTGCTTGGAGAGCTGCAGAATCATGGAACGGTTGGGATCAGAAGGGTGACCATCTCCAGCAGAGACACCCAGAGCACGTGGCACAAGGTGGCATCCAGGCAGGTTTTGGGTGTCTTCAGAGAAGGAGACTGCATAACCTCTCTGGACAGCTTGCTCAGGTGCTCTCATGATTTCAGTGGTACATCAGATCATTTCACATAGTATCACTGCCTCCTGAGCTGGCAACAGTCCAATTTCTGATGGAAGTAAGAAACCATACCTGAACAGTGATTCTATTATTTTTTCCCCTCCCAATTAAATATAACACCTAGAAAGCAATTCCCCCTCGCTGCTAAATACAAATTACTAAAACTTATTCATTTAGCTCAAGCAGTAAGAAGATCCCAGCGAGTTTTCACGTTTGGGCATGCCTTCAAAAACCAAAGACTCCCAAACTGGCAGTTTGAATCCAAGTGGTAGAGATTCTTTAGTTGATGTGAGGTAAGTATGAGGAACCTCGACACCTTATTTACATTGGTCTTTGCAAATGTATGAATGCCTTTCTGACAAGCTCTTCGTCTAGTGAAGTCAGCGGGAAGTATCCCTCTATTTTCAGCGTACGCAGCATTGCCAAGGGATTCCCTGGCCTGCAGAGGATGGGGCTCTTCACAAGTCAGGTCTCATGGTTCTCACTGGATCTTATAACCTGTTGCATAAGAGGTGAATCTAATCTACACTGAGCCACTTGAGCCTATTTCGTACTGTTAGCTGGGCAATATGATAAGGATAAATCACAGGTATTTTTGGAATAGGATTATGAATTCAAATGTATGCACAGTTAGCCCTTTAAAAATAAGCTGGGATAAAACTACACACACATGCTGTTCGCTTTGATCTCTAAAACATAAGCGATCAACAACTTCACCTCATTCTTATGGCAGCTTACAAAAGTAGCTTAAAATTAAACTGAGCACTGCACAGCTGAAAGGTCTGGGAATAACTGAAGAGCTGACAAAAAAATAACGTTGTGATTTGTGTCGGACTGAAAGCTGGTAGATTTTACCCAAATGGGAATGAGAAGATTGAAATTTTTTTTTTAATCCAAACTTCACATTCACAAAAGGGGACAAGCACAGATGAACATAAATGCTCTACAGTTTAAAATTCACATATTTCTTTCTGATTATCAAGAAAAGAAATACTAACCAGAACTGGAACCCAAGCTGCAAGCACCCCCTGCCCTGTCCCCCAGTAGTAATAGGAAGATATTGCAGGATCTTAAGGAAAAAAAACTGATCGGCTCATCTTCCATCTACATAATTGTGACATTCACAAATAAGGTCCTTGGCCTGTAAAACATACTGGAGTAAGTCAACATGATGACTCATTTTAAGAAGCACAGTGAATGGTTAAGTTTTTTAAACACATTAAATGGTACATTTAAGTCAATGTTTTAGTATGAAGTGGACAAACAGGCCATTGTTTGTCCATTTTTGGACAAACAAGCACAATGGTTAAAGCTTGTCACATGATTTCTGAACTGGTGCTGCAAATTGCAGCTTTTTTGCTGCAATTGCATACTACATCTCCCAGCATAGGAAGGAGAACCCACCCCTTGGATAACCAGAAACTCCTCTCATGAAGAAGCCCGAAGAGTGATGCAACATGAGCTGTCACCTCACTTGTATCTAGCATGTCCTTATGCAGCCGTCACGCTCTCCCTGCCACATGCAACACACGTGCTTGGTGGGATCAAGGTCTTTGCAGGATATCAGATTGCGTCTCCTCCTTTGGTTTAAGTTCTGTGTGAAAATGAGATTAACTTTAAAACAGGAAACATCTCTAGAAGTTGGCACTGAGACACCGCAATGCTAGAAACTTAGAAAATAGGAATAGGAAATAGGGTACAGTAGCAGGAACCGATATAAGGGCCCTATTTTGGCCCAGATTAAATTTACTGTGCCTGTGTGAAGCAGCAAGACAGCACAGGACACTAGGACCTTTATGACAAAGAAGGTTTTAGGACAGAGTGGGAGCATGAATAGAAAACTGTCAAGTCTTTGAAATGTGAGACTTCGGAGGTAGCTTTGTGTGAGAAGTGCATTAAGCAACCCTATCGCAGTGATCTGGAAGGGGAAACCAGGGGAAACCCTCTGATGCCAATTATCCTAAAAAGGTTCTGGAGAGATGAAATGGGGTCTCCCTGCTCTTTTGGTCTTTGGCCTCTCTGCTGACACGGGCAGCATGGGTGTCGAAGATCTTGTGCTTTAAGTACCTGGCTCGCTTTTAAGAATCTGATTAAAGCAGATAACCTCAGATAACATGAGGAATTAATGCCTTGAATACATTTGGGGCGATTTCCAAGTTCATGAGCTACATACAGGTCAGTCCTTTCCAAGCCACTCAGCCCCTAAGATTTTTGATTTTCACAGAACTGATGATCTTTACTTGGCATTTCCTCTGTCCTATTGGTATTTCGACTTAAACCACTTATCTGTATTAATTGTGGCTGTAATCTCTTCAGTTGCTCAGTCCATCACAGGGGACAGAGGTAAGCCTAGGATAGAGGAACATTAAAGAATTATTGGGACTTCACATTAGACATCACATATTTTCCTTAATAATTCCTTAGATTCTACATCCTCTAGATGTTTACAGTGTTTTATAAAATGAGTATTCTCTTCTTGCTTGTTCCTCTGACCCTCCACACTTCTCTATCCTTCCAACTTAGTCCGCAGAAAGGAGGTAGACTCCTCGCTCTTAGCTCTTCAACTCTGAATACTCTCAAGCTTGTAGCCGT